GGTCTCGCTTGTGTTGCCAGGCTGGTACTTGGAACTAGGCTCAAGAGGCCTCCTGCCTTGGCTCCCCAATGTGCTGAGAATTACGAGTAGAGCCCCTTATGCCCTGACTGTTGCCCCTGCTGGAGTGCTGTGGCTCTCAGCAGGCACAGTCACCGCACCACCCGAACGCCCCAACTCCTGGGCGTCAAACCCAGTCCCTTGGCCTCGAGCCTTTCCAGTAAGCTTACCCCGGTTTTTGGCATCTAATTCTAGTTTTATTTTTTAAATGTGTCTAGATTGCCATTAAGATAGTCCCTTTTTTTTTTTTTTTTTTTTGAGACAGGATCTCATGTGTCTCCAGGCTGGAGTGCAGGTGGCCGGATGTTCGGCTCATGCAAGCTCCCCTCTGGGGTTCACCCTTTCTCCTGCCCTCAGTCTCCCAGAGTTAAGTAGGGACTACAGGGCGCCCGGCCACCCATGCCCCGGCTTAATTTTTTTTTTGTATTTTTTAGTAGGGATGGGGTTTCACCTTATTAGCCACAATGGTCTCCATCTCTTGACCTCATGATCCGCCCACCTCGGCCTCCCAAAGTGCTGGATAACAGGCGTGAGCCACCGCGCCCGGCCAAGATAGTCCTATTAAGATTCAACATTTGTTTTTGATTGATTAAAGATGTATATAACATGCAATTTTTATTTTCCTTTTACTAGAAACTAATGGCAGATCCCCGAAATCCAGGCTTGTATTATGTATTAAGTGTTGTCTGGCAGGTAGCTTGTGAGATTAAAGTTCTGCACATGGTGAGTAAAATCTTTCTATTTAAAAACATTTTTCTTTAGAGACAGGGTCTCATTCTGTTGCTCAGATTGGAGTGCAGTGGTGCAATCATAGCTTGCTGCAGCCTTGAACTACTGGCCTCAAGTGATGCTCTCACCTTAGCCTCTGGAGTAGCTGGGACTACAGCCATGCGCCACCATGCCTGGCTAAGTTTTAAAATTTTTTTAAATATTGCCCAGCCTGGTCTTGAACTCCTGGCCTCAAGTTATCCTTCTGCCTTAGCCTCTCAGATCACTGGGATTATAGCATGACCCACTGCACCTAGCTCTAATTTTTATTTTTTTATAATTTTTTATTTTTTTGAGATGGAGTCTCACTCAGTCACCCAGGCTGGGGTGCAGTGGTTCGATCTCGGCTCACTGCAAGCTCTACCTCCTGTGTTTAAGCGATTCCCCTGCCTCGGCCTCCCGAGTAGCTGAGACTACAGGCGTGTGCCACCACACCTGCCTAATTTTTTGTATTTTTAGTAGAGACGGGTTTCACCACATTGGCCAGGCTGGCCTTGAACTCCTGACCTCAGGTGCTCTACCCACCTTGACCTCCTAAAGCGCTGGGATTACAGGCATGAGCCACTGTGTCTGGCCATGGCTCTAATTTTTAAATTGTTGCAATGTGGATCTTAGCGTATTCTCTTCACTGCTTTTGCCTGAGAATATTCTGAGTCTTCAGTCCGTGCTCCTTGCTGGTTTTTTTTAGGCTCAGGAATGTTCTCTCATTTGATTTTAGCTTTTGTTCCAATTCTTTTTTTTTCCCCTCAAAAACATTGAAGGTTCTTCGGTGGGATCTCTGATCCTTGTCTGTAGTGTCTGTGATGCTCTCGTCATTTTTCTCCGTTCCCAGAATCTCTTCACACTTAGTCTTCACGTCACTGATTCTGCTTTCTGCCCGCACTGTATGTTGTACTCTCAGTACTAGAGTTCTTGGTTTCTCTAAAATTCTTCCTCACCCACTGATCTTGTCTCATTCTGTTGACTTTCATCTCAAGCCTTCTGTCCTGGTAGCTTTCAGCTGGTTTCTTCAGAGAGGCCCTCTGAGGACTTTAGCTTGCACAAGTTATATGGAAAACACAAATAAGATGCTAGTGTCGACCGGGGTTGCTATGGTTCATGCCTATAATCCAGTGCTTTGGGAGGCCAAAGTGCTTGAGGCCTGGGAGCTCGAGTTTGCAGTAAGCCAAGAGTGGCCAACTGTACTCCAGCCATGGCAACAGAGTGAGACCCTATCCAAAACACAACAAACAAAACCTAGTGTCAATTTTAAAATGGATCACCTATTTTTCGGTATCTATCTTTCGTAATAGAATGTTGTGCATAAGGCAATTAATTTTAAAAGAATGATCTGGTTAGGGCCAGTGGGCCATGCCTATAATCCCAGCACTTTAGGAGGCTGAGGAGGAGACCGCTTGAGCTCGGGATTTGGAGCACCAGCTGGGCAACAAGGCTGAAAACCCTGTCTCTTCCAAAAAATACAAAAGATTAAGCGGTAGTAGGGGCGCATGCCTGGTAGCTTCCGAGCATTTGGATAGGCTGAGGAAGGAGATTGCTTAAGCCTGGAAGGCAGAGTTGCCGTGAGCTGGATTGTGCCGGTGCACTCCAGCCTGGGGTTGACAGAATGGAGATCATGTCTCAAATAAAAAACCGATCCACCCGGAAAAGTATCTCCTGTTAAAAAAACTATACATACCCATACCCATATTAAATTCAAATAAGAGTGGGTTAAAATAGATCTGACATAGGGCTTAAAAAACTAAACAATATTGAACACAACAGGTCTGAAAGGCTACTGTCGAAACAGTAATTTATTATTAACTATAGGGGCAATATGAGAGAATAAAACATATAATTGGGCCAAACTGTGAAATTCCTAGCAGTCCCGGGAATGTTACTTTAAGTGGGGAAGAAAAGCACCATCAGCGCGTGCACAATGGTATGGCCACTTCCACACGCCGGGTCGAGCCTCAGCCAGCTTTCCCTCGTCCAGGACGGTGGAGGAAAACCCACAAGACACTGGGAATAGGACTTCAACGACCTCCTCTACAGCTGCAGATACGCAGTGGAGCAAGCGCTGAGAAATGTCAGGGCCAGAAAGACCTTCCTCGCTGAGTTTAGCAAATGGCGAAACCTAACACCAGGACCTTTGAAAACAAGTAATTAAGGGAACAAAAAGACAAAAAATTATTCTGCAAG